ACCCCTCTGCAGAGATCCCTGGGGCTGGGACCCCCCTGCAGGGATCCCCTGGGGCTGGGACCCCCCTGCAGAAATCCCCTGGGGCTGGGGCTGCTCTGCAGGGATCCCCTGGGGTTGGGACCCCTCTGCAGAGATCCCTGGGGCTGGGGCTGCTCTGCAGGGATCCCTGGGGTTGGGACCCCTCTGCAGGGATCCCCTGGGGCTGGGACACCTCTGCAGGGATCCCCTGGGGCTGGGACACCTCTGCAGGGATCCCCTGGGGCTGGGACCCCTCTGCAGGGATCCCCTGGGGTTGGGACCCCTCTGCAGAGATCCCTGGGGCTGGGACCCCCCTGCAGGGATCCCCTGGGGCTGGGACCCCCCTGCAGAAATCCCCTGGGGCTGAGACCCCTCTGCAGGGATCCTGGGGCTGGGACCCCTCTGCAGAGATCCCTGGGGCTGGGGCTGCTCTGCAGGGATCCCCTGGGGCTGGGACCCCCCTGCAGGGATCCCCTGGGGCTGGGACCCCTCTGCAGAGATCCCTGGGGCTGGGACCCCTCTGCAGGGATCCCCTGGCAGTGAATGTGTCCCTGCCAGGGGATGGCTCTTCCCTAGGGCATGGCTGGGACTGGACCCTCCTCCAGGTGCCAGTCTTATTTCTGACCTCAGAAACCCCGACTCACCACCCCCTGAAATTGGTCAAACACCCTCCACTGCTGGACAAGTGATTCCCAGATGGGACGAGGCACCTCAGGGCACCCAAAATGTCCCCCAAGTGTCCTCCTCAAAGTGGTGATGGCCACAGCCCCAGGACTGTTTCCAGAAAAAGAAGCCCATGGCTCCATCCCTCCGTGCTCGATGCCACCTCCCACCTCTGGCATGGGGAGAGGGCTGATGCCACCCTGCACCCGTCGGGATTGCCTGGACTCAGGCATGCAAACAGCACCCAGGGAAGCACGGAAAGGCACCAACATCCCACCCTTAACACATCCTCCAGCTGAACAACACCCCCAAAGCCGAGCCAAGGGCCGAGTCGTGCTGTGGGTGGGACTCAGAGCAGAGAGGGTGCAGGGGAGCAGCACCAACTCCGTAGGAGTGAGAATTCCAAGGATATGGCCCTGCCCTCAGCACCCTGTAGCCATGGAATCATCAAATGCTTGGGGTTGGAAGCGACCTTAAGGATAATCTATGACAAAGATCATACAATATCCTGAAATCCCTTATTTCCCTGCTCCCATATGACAGCCCGTGCACGAGGATGCCGGGGCACTGAGCTCTCCTTCCAGGTCCACACAGAACTGACACTGAAGGGCAAAATAAGGCGCAGTTAAACCCTATTTGCCTGTTTGCACTCCCAGGCTTGCAGCATGCCCAAAGATCGTTTGCTAAAGCGTTTAAAAATAGGGGAAACCAAGCCCTGCTTCCCTCCGGCGGCGGTGGAGCCTCCGTGTGCTCGCACCAAGATATGCATATTTTAAAAGCTTGGCAGGAGAGGGCTCCAAACTACACAATTAAACAGATTTTACACACAACGCTCCCCGTACATGCCAAGCATCGCCAAAAGCCCTTTTCTTGTGCTACAACCCTGCAGGAGAGACCCCTTCGGAGCAATGACCCTGGCTCGCTCCTTCCATTCTGCCAGGGAAAGCACTTGTCTGCCCTTTGCCGCTGCTTAATTGCCCATAAACTGGGGATAAAAAACAAAAACCACTTCTTTTGTCAAGGGATGGAGCAGGAACAATTGCCTGGGAGGAAATTTAACCCTCCTGGAGGAAAGAGATATCTCCAGCCCTTGTCTGTGTCCACACGTGGGGTGGGATGGATACTGCTCTGCTCCGGCCACCCCAGGCACCCGCAGGGCATCTATTGTGCTGGAGAACAACAGAAGCTTTTGATCAGGCCTGAAAACACACAAAAAGAAGAGGGAAAAAAAGCAGGAGGAAAAGGTGATGGTGTCAAAGTACCAAGTGGAGGGGCCAGGGTTGCAGCTGCTGCACCTCCCCAGCACCAAGGATGCGTTTAAAGGTGGCATCCAGGGCTGAAACAGGGGAACAGGTCCTAAAATACAGAGGGAAAGGGAAACCGACAGCAGACTGTGAAAAGAGAAAAGAGGAGGTGCAAGGCTCTACAGCACCCAGTGCCCCTGTGTGGGGGTCGGAAGAAGATGATCTTTAAGGTTGTTTTCAACCCAAGCCTTTCTGTGACTCTGTGATAAACTGAAGGCATCCACGGGGGCAGCTCCAGCCTCGCAGGGCTGCACCCCTGGGCTGGGAGCTGCCTCTTCCATCCTCACCCCCGTGCCTCAGTGTCTCTCAGGTGACAGGCACGAAGGATGGGGAGGACATCGCAGTGGGGACCACGCTGGGACTGCCCCGAGCTGCGGGGACCCTGCTCCTCTGCTCCTGGGGTGCTGGGAAGCATCAGCCAGGAGCTCGTGGTAATGCCCTTTCCTCCATTTAACGTAATGAGCCGAGTCTGGGCGAGCCCTTTGCCTCACCCTGATGCTAAATCCCCTAATGCTGCTCCTCTAAGCACATTAGGGACAGGCAAACCCGACACAGCCCAGGCTCCTCTGGAACTCCCCGGTGCTGCTGAAACACTGCCTTGTCCTAATGGGGCACACGGCAGGAGAGCAGAGCAGCTCTTATTTAACACTTAAATAACAGCTGGCTGTGGAGAGCCCCGTGTTTCAGGGATCTCTCCAATCCCTGGCACAACAAGTGCAGCAGCCAGTTCCAGAGGAGCCGTCAGACCACAGAACAGAAGGTATTTATCAGAGTCACTCAGTGGTGTGGGTTGGAATGGATCTGAAACATCATCCAGTTCCAGCTCCCTGCCATGGGACACCTTCCACTGGAGCAGGTGGCTCAAGTGGCTCCGTTTCTCTCACTGAATGGTGCCCATGAGACTGCAGAGAGGGAGGATGCAGAGAGGGCAGAACACCCAAAGCATAGCCCCGGTTTTCCTGTTCCACTTTTTGGGGTGTATCTAAGAGCAGCAGGGAATTTTTGTCTTTCAGTGATACCACTCAGTAATGAAAAGTATTTTTCTGAATGTGAAAAAGAGGAAATTTAGATCAGATATTGGTTGCCCAGAGCAGCTGTGGCTTCCCCATCCCTGGAAGTGTCCAAGGCCATGTTGGACAGAGCTTGGAGCAACCTGGGAGAGTGGAAGGTCCCTGCCCATGGCAGGGTGGGACTGGATGATCCTTAAGGTCTCTTCCCACCCAAACCATTCTGGAATTTTACCAGAGCCAAATTGCCTTTTACCCCAGTGGGTGAAGTGGTTTCCTGCCACCTCTCCCATGAAACATCTTTTACTATCAATAAAATCCCTTTGAAACAACTCTGCTCCTACAAAATCAGTCAGGGATGAGTCTGGAAAACAAACCAACAACCTGCAAGGTCTCTGCTTATTTTAGATGACAAAGAAACTGAAAATTGTTCTGTGTCATTTCCAGAACATGTGGCTTCCCTACCCTGTGCAGCTGCCACGGGGAAAACACCAACCCAGAACTCATCTGCAAACTCTCCTGAGTGCCATGGTTCCACTGCTCTTAAACTCAGAATCTCCTTTTAGGAATAGGCATGTGGGAAAGCTTTAATAACAATAAAATTTAATAACAGTAAAAAATGAGAGCTTGTAGGCAGAAATGACATTTCAGCTCACTGGCAGCCTGGGGAAAAGGCACACCGAGGTGTTCCCAGTTTTCCAGACAAGGAATCCCAGTTATCCTGGACAAGGGATCTCAGGTTTGCAATGTCCCATGATGTTCCAGAGCATCTCCCTAATAAAGATCATCTCTTGGACCCTCAGCTGATGAAAACTGTGGCAGCTCCAATAAAACCATCACACCCCAGCATCCAAGGAGGGGCTCTGATGTTTTTCTTAGGTTTATTGACTGTGGCTAAGGGAGGGTGCTGCAAACCATCTAGATCCTTCTGAGTCTGGGAAAAATCCCAGCTAAACTGCAATTTTGGCATGGCCAGCGTCTCTCAGGACAAGGCCTTCTCTCCACAGCCTTAGGAAAGGTGTGACTTGCACGGGTCGGGGCCAAATTTCTCTTAGGTATTTAACAACACGCCTGTTCCATGTGCTACCTCAGAGGAATTTGGCTTTTTTGAATGCAAAATCCTGCAAAACTGAGCAGAGTTGGAGCCAAAGCTCTTGAGGCCAAGCTGCTTTTGGCCTGTCAGTCTGGCAGGGGCTGGATGGGAGCACTAAACCACTGAAAACACCTTTTTAGCACAGAAATGAAGCAATCCAGCTGCAGAGAAGCAGCAGGGTTTTCCTCCTCCCACAGCACTAAAAAGCAAATACAATCAGAGGAGCTCTAGGATGTGATCCCACTTTATCTAACATGTATAAAAATACCCGAGAGCGGCAGGAGAAGCTGGAGAATAAAAGTAAGCAGTGGAAAGCATGGGGTTTGCCCAAAAAAACCCCAACACTATGACTCCATTGAACTCTCCCCTGTGCAGAACTCACCTGATCCCATCAGATGTCCCATAGCCCCTGGCATACACGTGAAGATGAAGCCGGTGATTTGTGATTTTTCCCAGCGACATTTTTGGTTATTTTGCAATCCTGTTTTTTACTGTCCCCCTTGTTTCACAAAGCTGCCGAGGCTCTCCGGCCAAGCTTGGTGCCTGTTCCCACTGGGTTTGGGGTCGTTCTCGGTGGAGCAGGATGAACCTCCATCCCCAGATTTCACTGCCAAGGTGAGGGACAGGTGGATTTTTTATTGCCTGTGGACGCTTTGTTGGGCACACAGGAGGAGCAGTGGGACAGGAACCAGGAAGGGGGTGCAGGAGCCACGATGTCCCGTGGGATGGAGGAGCTGGAACCATCTGGAAAGGCTTTTTGCGGGAAGAGCAAGGACCAAGGGGGATGGGAGAAGGGATGCCATGACAACCTCTGGGGGTTTCCCAGGAAACCATGGTCACCATGGCAACTGCATCACTCCGTCGGAATTAGTGACTTCCGCTGGAAGGCGTGTTCGCCACTTTAATCTTCTGGCGATAAGCGGCTGCGTCTCCTCCAAAGGCATTGCAAAATGAGGAGGAAATATCCCTTTGTCTGCGGCTGGGTGGGTTGGAGGCTCCCAGCCATAGCAAGGAGCCCGTCCTGGATCCTGCTCCGTGCCGACATCGCTCCGTGCGCCGGCGGCTCCCGAAAACATTCCAGTCTGCCTCTCCTCTCCCTCCTCCTGTACTCATCCCTGCTGCATGGCCACAGACTTGACATCGGAGGAAATAACTCCATCAGGTTACAGGGGAAGGGAATCCAGAATAGAAAACGAAGGCTTAGGGAATTTTTTTCTATTTAAATCAGCATTGATTGCACTCAGTCTCTGACCAGATTAGAATTTCATAAATGATCTAATGGGGAGAAAAAGGGAATCTGGGATGTGCCCGTAATGGCACATCACATGTTTCAATATTAAGCATCATTTAACGATGTGGTAACAGAGACTCTCTGCAGAATTAAATTATTATTTCCTCCCAGCCCCCTCCCAGTACACTCTGCCTCATTTTTCCCTCGTTCCTCCACCCAGTCCGAGTTTGTTAATCCAATAAGTTACTTGATGTGATGGAAGGGAGATTGGCTACACATTGCCCTTAGGGAAAGAGGGAGAAATTCAGGAGCAAAGGAAGAGGTTCTCCGTAAGCCCAAAAAGCAAAGCAGCTCTGCAACACGTTGCAGAAAAAACACCTGTTTTGACAGTGAGTGTGGTTTTTCTTCATCTTCCTTCTCTTTATCCTTTAGCTGTCCTCTTTTTCAGAGAATTTTAAATCCTTTTACTTTTGGATCTTTAGAAAGGAAGGATCTAAAAAAATAAAGGTATAAAAACGAGGGCACACACAGGACCGACGATGGTGCATGTTCCACACAACACCGACACACAGTCACTTTGCATTATTATTGGTATTATTATTGGTATTGTTGTACCGCATCCTCAGATTTCGTCACTGTTCGTTTGGTTTGGGTTTGTTTTAAACATCCGTAAAGATCTTTTTGATGTTCACACAGTTGGGATTGTTTGTGGTTGTGCAGTTGCCTGCTTTAAAGGCAGCCTGTTTGAATGCACTGTGATTGACCCCCCCTTCCTCAATCACCATGTACTCGGACTTGCTGAGGGTGGAATTGCTGCGAGCCTTCTTCATCTCCTCGCTGGACGAGAGGTGCTGGCAGCTCCCGACATGCATGTACTGGGCTTGTTCCTCACCTTCTGTCTCCCGGTGGTAGAAATAGTTGAAATTGGAGACGATGACGGGCACGGGCAGGGCGATGGTCAGCACCCCCGCGATGGCGCACAGAGACCCCACGATCTTGCCCCCAATGGTGATGGGGTGCATGTCCCCGTAGCCCACGGTGGTCATGGTGACCACAGCCCACCAGAAGGCATCAGGGATGCTACTGAACCCCGAGCTGGGGTCATCGGCTTCCGCGAAGTAAACGGCGCTGGAGAAGAGGATGACGCCGATGAAGAGGAAGAAGATGAGCAAACCCAGCTCCCTCATGCTGGCCTTGAGGGTCTGCCCCAGGATTTGCAGCCCCTTGGAGTGCCGGGAGAGCTTGAAGATGCGGAAGACCCTGACGAGGCGGATGACTCTGAGGATGGCCAAGGACATGGCTTGCTGGCCATTGCCTTGCCGCTCAGCCAGCTCCGTGCCCAGCGTGATGAAGTAGGGGATGATGGCCACAATGTCAATGATGTTCATGATGTTCTTGGAGAAAGTGGCCTTGCTGGGGCAGGCAAAGAAACGGACCAGCAGCTCAAAGGAGAACCAGATGATGCACAAAGTCTCCACCACAAAGAAAGGGTCGGTGAAGGATGACACCATGGAAGCAGGTGAGGATGTGGAGTTGGTGAAGACATCAGGTGGGAGAGGGCCGCTGCCTGTCCCGAAGGTCCCCCCAGTTCCCTCATAGTCATGGTCATCCCTGAATTCAGGCAGGGTCTCCAGACAGAAGATGACAATAGAGATAAGGATGACCAGGACAGAGACAATGGCAATGCCTCGGGCCGGCCCAGAGCTCTCGGGGTACTCGAAGAGGAGCCACACCTGGCGCTGAAACTCCTTCTCGGGAAGCGGCCGCTGCTCCTCCCGAATGAAACCCTCGTCCTCCCGAAACTTCTCCATGGCCTCCTCCCCCAGCTGGTAGAAGCGGATCTCCTCGGAGAAGATGTCGATGGGGACATTGACGGGACGCCGGATGCGCCCGCCCGACTGGTAGTAGTAGAGGATGGCGTCGAAGCTGGGACGGTTACGATCGAAAAAATACTCATTGCGGAGGGGGTCGAAGTAGCGCATCCTCTTCCGGGGGTCCCCCAGCAGCGTCTCGGGGAACTGTGCCAGGGTCTTGAGCTGGGTCTCGAAGCGCAGCCCCGAGATGTTGATCACCACGCGCTCGCAGCACTCGTGCTCCGCAGCGCCCGCGGGCTGCCCGGCGGGCACGGCCGGCGCCGGGGGCTGATCGTAGCGCTCCCCCCCGAGCGGCGCGGGAGGATGCTGCGGCTCCTCCAGCAAAGGGTCGCCGCCGCCGCCGCCTCCCACCACGGTCATGCTGCCTTCCTCCCCTTCTTCGCCCTCTTCCTCCTGCTGCTCGGGGCCCGGCTGGGGGGCGGCGGGGGGCTCGCTGTAGCCCAGGTTGTGGTGGCTGCTGGTCGAGCCGCCCCGCGGCTGCCGGCCGGCGGAGGAGGCGGCCGGAGAGTACAGCAAGCTCCGGCGCTCGTCCATAAAGGTGTGGGGCGGAAGGGGAAGGGGGGGAGGGGGGATCCGAGAGGCGGCAGCTGAAGCCTCTTCTTCCTCCTCTTCCTCCTCCTCCGGGCGGAGAGGGAGCAACAGCCGCCCAACTCCTCCAGCGGCTGCCGCTGCTCTGAAGAGCTGAGGCTCTTCTCAAAAAATCCGCCCCCAGCCCTGGCACCGCCTCACTCGGTCACCGCTCCCGGAGACACCCACCAGCCCCCCGGCCCTGCCCCGCAGCCCCCCGCCAGCTGCGGGCATCCCCTCCCACGCCCCTGCTTGGGGGAGCCCCATCCATCCCCCAGGCAGCGCCGAGGGGCTTCCGTCTCCTCTCGGGAGCATCCTTTGCTGCTCAGCGGGCTGCAAGCAGGAAGAGGGGTTTTTCCTGCCAGAACTGCTGCCTAGAAAGAGTTCTTCTGCCCTTCCCCAGGTGAAATGCAATTTTGACTCTGAATTTTCGCGTTTGCCTGTCGGTTTTCAGCTACGGTTTCACACGGTGGGAGGCTGTGGGCAGTGCAAAGCCGGTAGCGTGGCCAGACCCAACAGTTGTTTTGAATCAGCGTCTGGGTTGGGCTGGGGATTGTTTTTCTCTGTCTAGGAGAGCATGTGCATGTGTGTGTGTCCATGAGTGTGGGTGCACACGTGTGTGTGTGCGTGTGCTTCCCCCACCAAAATAAACCCAGAAGCAGAGCCAGCCCTCTACCAAGGAGGCTTCAGGCTGAACCCAAACCTGCATTTCAGACTTTCCATCAAGAAAGCCAAACCCCTTCTACTTCTTTTTCTTTCTTTCTCTCTTCAGTTGATCTTTTAAAGCAAATATTCAATTGTGAGCAAAAGGGACTTTTCAGGCAAAAACCTCCTCTGCAGGAGCCCTGAGCTGGAAAACACCCCATCCCCAGGAAACGTGCATGAGGGACACCCTCTGATCTCTGCACTCCCAGCTCTCCCCCAGCTCCCCATTTTTCCAACCCCCTGCAGTAACTGAAACACTTTAATGCCCAGCCATGTGCCAAGGGGGTTTAGGCAATTCAGGGAGCTCCTAGCTTGGGAAAAAGTAATGGAATGATTTGGGTTGAAAGGGACTTGAAAGCTCATCTCATTCCACGCCCCTGCCATGGGCACTCCTTGCACTGGACCAAGAGTTTGACCATGAGGAGAGGAGAGGAGAGGAGAGGAGAGGAGAGGAGAGGAGAGGAGAGGAGA